GATTAAGGCAAGTGCAGATGTCTCACCCTATGTTCTGTTTCAACCAGGGAAATGGGTGCAAGAACAGAGATTAGTGGTCTGAGGGTGCATACTGGCATCTCTGGGTGGGTGACAATACTCTGCAAGTATGTATGAGTCTGGTCCTCTTCCTCCAGTGCTGGGAATATTGGACACAAAGAGCCAGCCCAGGCCTGTGGGTCCTACACTCTTAGAGCTTTTCATTAAGCAGACTGGCTCCCTGCCATATGCCATCTGCGTGTCTGCTTCCATTCCCTGGGAGGAGCCTGGCAGTCTGAAACAGAGCTCAGGAATCAAATTAGCCAGGCCTCTGCTGTTCCTTCGTCCCCACTGGCCAAGGCGAGTTCATCAAGGCCTCACGCTAATTCTTATCTTGTTTAAAAGGGACAAAAGTGACTCCACAGTTTCATCTGAGGCAATTTACACCCCGCCACTGGCCGCAGCTCCAAGTTTCCTCTGTCTGTTGTGCCATCAAATCCATTATTAGGACATTTCTTCAGGGGGAAACTTGATTGCCGCTCCATCAGAGAGGCTCCCGGGCAATCTATCTCCATCTGAGGCCACGGCCTGCCCGGCTCCCTCTAATCCTGTTATCTAAGGATTAATTCTCTAATGTACACACTGCATACAATACATCCTCTTTTCCCCTAACCCAATTGGATGCCCCAAAGGATTCCAGTACTGAACACAGAAATGACGGCGTAGGGCCCATGGGACAGGGTCTCCAGGTTTTTTTCATGATATTCTTTAATTTTCAGTGTTGAGGAGTTAGCCTAGAGCAACAGTTCTCAAACTGTGGAAAAAAATATCCTGCATATTAGGTATTTATGCTATAATTAATAACAGAAGCAAAATGACAGTTATGAAGTAGCAACAAAAATAATTTTATGCTTTCAGGTCCTTACAACATGAGGAACATATTAAAGGGTCACAGCATTAGGAAGGTTGAGAACCACTGACCTAGAGCCTCCCCAGTGCTACCCACACCCTCTTCTACTGAGCTATGTTCTTAGCCTTCCTAATAACCTAAATATTTTTAATTTAATTTATAGTTTGGAGGAGTTTTCTTTCAGACAAGATGTCATATAGCTCAGGCTAGCCACAGACTCTCATGTAGCTTGGTCAAGCCTCGAGTTCTTGCTCCTGCTGCCTTTGCCTCCCTCATGCTGGGTTTACAGGTAAACACTATTACATCTGGAGGGTTTTGTTATTGTTTTAGTGTGTGTGTGCTTTTTTACATTTTGAGACAGGGTTTCACTAAGCTGCCCAAGCTAATCTTAAACTTTGCAGGTTACCTCAAGAAGACAGAGGTAACCTAGGAGTTTTAGCTGGCCTTCAGGTAGGCTTGTTTTCCTGCATCATTGGATTTCTTTGAAAACCCAGTAGGTACTCTGGTTCCTCCTGTCTTGTCTTGCCTTTCTGTAAACCACAAAGTCTGAGAACATTCACTCTGGGATAGTCTGGCTTGCCACATTATTTACAATTCTGGGGTTACCTATTTACGAAGTGTCCTTTTCTACCACTTGGTCTCACTGCCATTCTCTCAAGATAAAATCTATGGGTTGATTTTCATTGTCTTTCTGAATGGTTACTTTGGAAGCAAATGGATTTACAGAATAGTAACAAGAACTCTGTAAGCTTGATGGAACCTTCTAGAACCAAATCCTGGTTATCATTCCTAGGAAGGGAATCTGCCAAGGAATGTCACAGTGCTGTGTGCAGTTTATAGTGCATGTGAATGAGGAAAGGACTAAGCCTGACCAAGGCACAGGTTTGTCTTTTAACTACAATTTAGGGCCCTGGGGATATAGCTCAATTGGTAGTGTTTATTTAACATGCATGATGTCTTGGGTTTGACCCTAGTACCATATAAACCAGGCTTTGTGGTAGGTACATGCCTATAATCCCAATACTTGGAAAGAGGAGACAGGAGTACCAAGGGTTCAAGGTCAGCTTCAGCTACAAGAGGTCCTGTCTTTAAAAAGTATGATATATTATTCCTGGGGCTAGGGATGTGACTTGATTGGTAAACGCTTGCCTGGTATCAGAAAGCTCTGGGTTCCAGCCTCAGCACTGTATGTAGTGGGTATGGTTGTGCACACCTGTAATCCCAGAATCTGGGAAGTAGAGGCAAGAGGATCAGGAGTTTGTCATTGTCATCGTTGGCTTCAGAAGGAGTTCTAGGCAAACTTGGGCTAGATGAGACACTATCAAAAAACAAATAAATAAAATAAAATAAAAATAAAAAAGAAAGAAAAAAAACTACAATTCAGAAAATGTTTCCTTCTTACAATCCATTCCACACTTGTATTCAATTTAAAAAAGGAATTACAAAGAACACAAGTGTTTGGTTGAAGTTTACCACAATGGATATAGGAGAGCCTTGCTTTTAATACAGAAGGGGTGGGAGAGTTTTCACTTACATCATATTGGAATGGATCTTCTCTGAGCTGAACATTGTACAGTCTTTTACTCAGACAACTTTTGAGGCACACAGCTGTGTCTCTGAGAAGCAGATGTTCACCCATTTAACTCACAAAGAGAAAAGAAACATCTTTTTCAAGAAAGCCGATGTTAGACAGAAGGTATTGAAAAATGTCTACAAAAGGATAGTAAGCAAAAAAGGGAAGGGGATTGGGGGGATAACTTGGCAGTCAAGAGCATGTACTGTTCTTGCAGAAGACTTGAGTTCAGTTCCCAGCACCCATTGTTGGGCAGTTCACAACCACCTGAAACTCCAGCTCCAGGGGATCCAACAACTCTGGTTTCTATGGACACCTGCACTCCCCACACCTACATATATGTATGCACAATTAAAAACATCTTTTAAAAGTAAAAATAAATTTTTAAAAGAAGGGAAAAAGGATGCAGGAGTCTAAGGAGGTCAGAAGAGGCATCAGATCCCCTGGAGCTAGAGTTACAGACATCTGTGAGCTGCCATGTGGGTGCTGGGAATTGAACCCAGGACCTCTAGAAGAGCAGTCAGTATTCTTAACTACCGAAGCATCCTTCCACCCTCCTATCTTCTTAACTATACACTTTATGGAAAGAACTCACAGAAGAACATACATACACCACAGTATTAACAGTGACTCTCTCTGGGACAGCAAATCTATGGATGTTTGTAATTGTTCTCCATGATTTTCTATAATTAACAATACATACATTTATTATAACTAACAAAAATGCATAACAATAAATACACATGACATTAAAAATGGAGAAGACTGCAGAAATGACTCAGAGGTTAGAGGCATATATTGCTCTTGCAGAAGACCCAAATTTAGTTCCCAGCACCTGTGACAGACAGCTTGAAACTGCCTGTAACTCTAGCTCTAGGGGACCCAAAGTCCTCTACTAGACTCTAAGGGCACCTGCACTCACACACATACATACCCACCCACCCTACCCCTACCCACATACACATGATTAAAAGTAAAATCAATCTTCAAGATATATGTATGTTACTATTTTTAACTCTGTGTATATGAGAGGGGGAGGGAGAGAGGGGAGAAAGAGAGAGAGAGAGAGAGAGAGAGAGAGAGAGAGAGATCACATTCTATGTACAGCCTGAGCTGTCCTCAAGCCTGCTACTCTATTACCTCACCCCCCTCCCCCACCACAGGCTGAGGTTACATATGTGACTCACAGAACTTGGTCCTTGGCTTATTTAACTTTTACTTTATATTTTGTTTGTCTGTTTCTTGAGGCAGGGTCTCAGGAAGCCCAAAGTGCTCTTGAACCAGCTCTGTACCTCAGAGTGGCCTGAAATTTTCGATCCTCCTGCCTCTGCCTCCCTGGAATTACAGGTGAGCATCACCTTGGCCTATAGCAAGTCTTTGCCTATGTGGCATTAGGCATTGGAGTAGGCTTTGTGCATGCCATGCAAACACTGTGCCCACAACCATGTCCCCCAACTTACAATAAGAATGTAGTCACAAAAGGCCATATATTTCTTTTGGGTTTTTTTGTATTAAATTTTTTATTTATTTTAACATACCAACCACAGCTTCCCCTCCCTCTTCTCTTCCTGCCCCCCCACCTCCCATCTACACCCACACCCACCTCATCCATTCCTCCTCGGTTCAGAAAGGGGCAGAAGGCCATCCACCTCCCATCTACACCCACCTCATCCATTCCTCCTCGGTTCAGAAAGGGGCAGAAGGCCATACATTTGATGGTATTTGTTAAAGCTCAGAAATTCAGACAAAGATATGTAAAATGTATTTAGTTTTCTTCAATTCTTGGCGGCACCTGCCTTAAGTAATCCTAGTACTTGAGAGGTGAAGTCAGGAGGGTTAGAAGTCCAAAGCTATTCTCAGCTCCCTAGTGAATTCGAAGACAGCCTGGACTGCATGAGACCCTGACTTAAAAAGCAAAGCAAAATGAAATTTAAAAATTTTTAATTGAATGAGGATGAAGGAGCAGACCTTTATTGACATCCCCATCCTCTCTGTCTGCAGAAAATGCCCCTGCTTCATTAGGGGTATGTGTCACTTTGGGGGAGCCAAAGTATACGTCCTGCTGCCCCTGCTTAATCCTGGCCTTTCTATACTTGTGAAGTGACACTAGTGACTGTGACAGCCCGTTACAGTCCCACTGCTGTCAATCTGCATCTTTGTTCCACGGATCCTGTAGGCCCTTTCCCCAAAACATTTCCTGGACAAGATGTGGCCAAGCCACCTACTTGAATGGGTGGGATGAGCTCCCTCTCCTGACATCAGCTAGCCGACTCCCCTCCCCTTCCTCCCGCCCTGAAACCTGATCCAGCAGCAAAGCTGCTTGCTAGAAAACTTGGCGGCTCCCCAACTCTGGTGGCCCGGGAGTGCCTGGCTGCAGCCTCACCAGGTGCAGACAAGCTGTTGGAAAAGCAGGCTGCCTGGGACATGAGGTTGGCAGCGGGTGTGCAGGCTGGCAGTCAGGGGGACTCACCCTGAGTGCCTGCTCCGAGACGAGGCCCTCCCACGCTTGGGAAGTTTGCCATGCTGCTCTGCGTGCCGCAGGTGCTGCTGGCCCCGCTCCTTTCCATGCTTCTGGCCCAGGCGGAAGGTAAGGAGTTTGGTGGGGAGGGGAATAGCATGCTGGGGTGGAGGAAAGCCTTAGGTCTCAAAGGGTTGGAGGGAGGAGAGGCTGGAGCCACGGGAGGGCTAAAGGAAGGCCGGCTGGCTGGCTATCTCACTGCTGATGAAGGAGAGAGCATTCTAAAGTCAAATCAGGTGGTTTGAGAAGTTGAGCCCAAGTGAGTCTTCTGCTGAGAAAGGATTGTCTGTCTATAAGACACATGGATGCTGGGAGATAGTTCTCTTTCAACTTAGCAAATGATTGCAACTACAGACCTGTGAGCTCGTTCTGTCCACTTTTTCTTCTAATAGCCACAGATAGAGTGGGAGAACAATTCACACAGGGTCACACAGCTTGCCTGCAGCAGAGTGGGTGCCAGGACCACTTGAGTAACTTTTTTTTTTTTTTTTTTTTTTTGCTTTTGCTGGTATTTTTGCTTGAGTCCTCTGGGCTTTCTCCTCCCCTAGGCTCCTCCAAGGCTTCAGTAAAATCAAACTTCCCTGTCCTTTCTACCCAGTCCTCTCCTTTCTACTTCAGAAACAGGGTGTTCAGCCACATGGGTACTATGTTCCTTCTATTGCGGACCACATTCAGTCCCACAGGCAGGCTCCTTCTACACAGCTGTGTTGCAGCACCTTGGGGGACAATGAGAAGGATGCCACCAAGGGGGTGGGACTGATGTGAAGGCAAGGAATAGGATGCTCTTTTCTGTAAGCTGTCATTGGGAAAAGCAGGGTAGATGGACCCGAAGCAGGTTGTACGTGGTAAGTGCTTTGGGCTACCTTTCTCTGGTTGCTCTGTCCTCTCAACTGACATTGTTCTGCGGCCTGGCCGAATTAGCCAAGCACCCCCAAACCTCCAAGAGTTCTGCAAAGCCCATCAGACCCCCCCCCAAGCTTCTCAGAATCTTGGGTAGTGGTGTAGAATCTGGTCTGAATCTTCTGAGCCTTGGGGGTTCATGTCTGTATAATGGTCTGTCTTGCTAGCTCCTTTGGCAGGCTGTCCTGAGATTGAAATGGAAGACTTGTGCAGATAATATTCCATTATTCCAAAGAAGACAAAACAAAACAAAACAAAACAAACAAAAAAAAAAAACAAGTCTCTTGAGGCTGGGGCTATAGCTCTGTTGGTAGAGGCTCAAACAAAAAAACAAGTCTCTTGAGGCTGGGGCTATAGCTCTGTTGGTAGAGGCTTGCCTAGCATAGTGTGCATGCACACAGCCTGGGCTCCAGTCCTCAGCACTGCATAAACCAGGAATGGAGGTATAAGCCTGTAATCCCAGAATTTGCAAAGTAGAGGCAGGGGGATCAGAAGTTCAAGGTCATCCTCGGCCACAAGGCAAGTTCTAGGCAAACCTCAGTTACCAGAATACTGCCTGAAAAGCAAAACAAAATAAAATAAACTTAAAAATAGTCCCTTCCACTTCTCTTTGCTTGCCTCTGTGCCTCCATGTGTCCCATAAGGAGGAAAGCTTATGGGACGGGTAGATGACATCCCAGTGAAAAACCTGTAAGAATGCCTTGTTGTTTGGTGACAAACTTGAGTTGCTTCTTCTTTTTAAAATTACATTTATAATAATAATGATGATGATAGTAATTATTATCATTATCATCATTATCATCATTATGTGTGTGTAGTCACATATATACCCTGTCGTGTATGTTGAGGTCAGAGGACTACTTGCAGAAGTCAGTTCTCTCAGGTCATGAGGCTTGGTGGTAGGTGCCTTTAGTCACTGAGCCATTTCACCTGACTAGAGGATGAAATTCTTTTAACAGATTCTAAGCTGGGTCAAGAGAACCAGGGCTCTAGCTCCTATGTTAAACTGTTCTCCTTCCCAGCCAGCCAGAGGGCGGCCACTCAGGCCCACGACACCACCAGGCCCGCTCTGCTCAGGTTGTCGGATCACCTCCTGGCCAACTACAGAAAGGGGGTGCGGCCTGTGCGGGACTGGAGGAATCCTACTACCGTCTCCATCGATGTCATCATGTATGCCATCCTCAGCGTGGTGAGCTGCCCTCAATCTGTTTGTGGGGAGGGGTGGTCAGAGAGGCCATGCACCTCCTGGGCAGTACAGTGGGCATCAAGAACCCTAGTGCCTATGGTCTGGCATCATGGCTGGGGATAGACTGAAGTTGTATCTGCACAGCTGCCAAAATCACAAACCTGGGCCACCTATGTGTACCATCTCCTAGATGTGGTCACCTCCTACATGATGGAAACTGTCTCCCCATATCATCTCTACACCCTTAGTTAGTGCCTTATAAGGGTCCCTGGATGGCAGGTGTCACTAAATGGCAACAGTAGATTAAAAAGTCAATCAATAACTAGAGTAGGGTGGGGTACCCTCTTCAGCAGGTGAGGCCAAGCATTGCATGGAGATGGACAAAAAGGTGACTGAAGAGCTGCTGGCTTTCTGCCTTGCAATGGGGAGGTGGGAATCGACTTTACAGGCTGCTTGGGTCACATGACATCTCCCCCGTATAGGAGGGAATCACAACATTTAGAACATCTCTGGAGAGAATAGCTAAAGGCAGCTTGGTGTGCTGCTTCAGAAAGGGAGACCTGCAGTTAGAGGTGGGGAGAGGAGAGCAACCACTTTTTTTTATTCTGTAGTTTTGAGTCTCTTAATTTCATAACACAGCAGGCCATATATGCATCATATATATAATATATAAATATGATAAACATTGGTAACAGAAACCACACATAATTTACATATCTTTAGGGTTTTCCCCCCTGTTTTATTGAGAGAGAGTTTTACCATATTTCCAGGCTGGCCTCAAGTTCAGTCCAATACACCTGCCTCAGCCCTCTGGGTATTGGATTATAGGCATGTACCACCACACCATACTATGTATCTTCAAACTTGAAAAGAAACCATTGCATTTCATCCTAGCTGAGTCCTCTTAACAGAGAAGCTTCTCTTGGCCTCCCAGCACCCAGTTCATCCCTTCCCCTAGTCCCTTCCCTCCTCCTGCCTTCCCAGAAGACCACCTCCTGTTAGGTGGTGTGAGAGGGGCCATCTGTCATCTCCCTTTCCCTTCCTAGGATGAGAAGAACCAAGTGCTGACCACTTACATCTGGTACCGGCAGGTGAGCAAACCGCCTCTCACCACCCTGCTACCTAGGATGAGACTTCTCTGCCAGGAAGGATGTCCCCCTTCTCAAGGAGTCAGGAATCTCATGGGCCACGTGGAGGTTCAGAGGCATGGTAGACAGATATAAGATCTAAGAGTCTGAAACGTCTCCCTCTCAGGGCCAGGACAAAATGGGTGCAGGACATCCTCCCAGCCCCAATCCCTGCTTTCTCAGATTCTTTGAAGCATCCTAGACAAGTGCTGACTGACCAACCCTGGAGAAAGGACAATCCCTGGCCTCACTTCACTTTCATGTAAACAGCTCCAGCTTCTAGAAAGTTCTTCTACACTAAGTTGGAAAACAACAAAATCGAGAGACAGAGACAGGAAGAAACCATCCACTTAACCCCCAGGAATCCGCCCTGGTGCATGTGTTCAGCTTTGACAGGTGTAAGTCACACTGGTGTACAGATGTCTCAGGTCTTGACTGGTCTCTGGAGAGGGGGTAGACCAGAGAGGCCTCGCCCCAGAGGCTCGGTAGAAACAGCAGCAGCCACAGGTCTCTGTGGAATCCCTCCCCACATCGATAGCCATGCTCTATCACCATGATACCCATATGGGACAGAGAATGTAGTAGAGGAATGTTGATCCCTACCAGACAGTTCCATTTCTGTCTGACGGAAGGACCCCTTAATTCAGAAAACACCCTGGCTCATGGGAAGGAGTCAAACAAGAACAGGCTGCATGTTTCCCCAGAAGAGGCTGCAGCAGTCTGTGATGTTATACATGCAGATGATAGAGAGCTGTAGAGGCAGGGTCTCTTAGCAACCAGTGTGTGATGTGGGTCAGTGCCCAGCCTTCCCCCTGGAAGATGGCCACCTACTTCCTGAGAAGAAGGGGCAGAGATCTGTCTCATTTGCAGAAGACCCTCACCAAAAAAGGGAGGGGGCTGCCTACGGCTGTTTCTGCTTCTCCCACAGTTCTGGACTGATGAGTTTCTGCAGTGGACTCCTGAGGACTTTGACAACATCACCAAATTGTCCATCCCCACAGACAGCATCTGGGTCCCTGACATTCTCATCAATGAGTTGTGAGTACTTTCATCAGAGTCTAGGGGCTAGTGAAGCCAGGCATGGTGACAATTTCCTCTTTGCAGCCTCCAAACTGCCCCAGCCAGGCTTGTAGGCTGTAGGCCAAGTATCTGCTCAAGTCCTCCTTTACCCATCCCTTTCTCTTTGTACTGGATGCTACAACTTTATACTTCTTGGTCCAGGGGTCTCTATCATAGTAACAGAAGCCAGCAAGTGATGACACACTGAGTTCTAATAACTTAATGGAGACAGCTGCATTTGTCAGAGGGGACCATTACACTTTTTGAAAGGAGTGAAACACTGATGGCAGCCAGTGCTCCTGAACACAAAAGAGATTGGGAGCCAAGGAACATGCTCAGATCTCCCAAGCCACACATGTGCTGAACAGGCCACAATTGGCACCCCCAGGATGAAGTGGGTCCCATTAGCTTTTGTTCCCAGCAGCCCAACATGGTCCTATTGCCTTCAGCCAGCTGACTTTCTCCCCATCCTGCAGGTTCATCCAGGGTCCACCAACTGGACATCTGAGTTCAAAGGCAAGGAAAATACGTGGGGAAAATACAGATAGAAGGGGGAAGGTAGGCTGGGGCTGTGACTCAGTTGGTAGAATGTCTGGTTGGCATGCAAAGTGCCTGGATTCCATGCCTAGTATCAAATAAACCCAGTGTGGTAGCACAGGCCTACAATCCCAGCATTTGGGAGATGGAGGCAAGATTATTAGAAGTTCAAGGCCATTTCTGACTACATAGAAAGTTCAAGGCCAGCCTGGACTACATGAGACCTTATTGCAAAAAAAAAAAAAAAGTAAGGGAAGGTGGCAGAGGGATTCATGTAGTATCAACTGCATTGTCCACCATGGCATTTTCCTACAGAAAGCCATTGAATTTGACCTCACCCTTGAATGCCCCAAATGGCACAGGTGGAAAGTGTTCTAGAAATTTCTGCCCTGTATTTTAGCTTCTTATCTTTCAGGTAACCCCACAGAAGGATAAAGGCAGGGACCCTGGGCTCAGCTTACCTCAGGCCTTGGGTCCAGGCTCAGTCAGGAGAATGTGCTGAATTCTTGTTGGATTTTCCTAGGCCCCCTCTCCTTACTCATGATCTCTGTTCTCTTCCCTCCTGAGATGATTGCTCCCATTTGGGGCACTTCTAGGAATGGGAATCAAAGCACTACCAGAGTCAGGATGGAATAGGATTCTTCTCTCCTATCAAGCCATTGGCTATTCTGGATATCAGCTCTATTCCATCTGGCATGGGGTGGGTGTGACAGCCTGGAGACAGTGACTTATGGATTCATGGATTCCTTCTCTGCCTTTGAGAGCTAGGTTGTTAGTGGAGTCAAAGAGAAACACCCTTTATTGTTTGGAGCACAGCTTCCGTAATAGTGGGTCAAGAAGCTAAGACTGAAAACACTGGAAAGTTAAGGCCAGACAAAATGTCTGGATTATCTTGCTGTCTAGATCCTCCCTGAATTTCTTTTCCTATTGGGCTACCCAAAAGATCTTTAGCCTCCCAGCGCAAGGATCTGCCTCTTCACCCCACAAACTTATTCCTCTTCCCTGACCAGTGTGGACGTGGGGAAGTCTCCGAACATTCCGTATGTGTACGTGCATCACCGAGGTGAAGTCCAAAACTACAAACCCCTTCAGGTGGTGACTGCCTGTAGCCTTGACATCTATAACTTCCCCTTTGATGTGCAGAACTGCTCTCTGACCTTTACCAGCTGGCTGCATTCCAGTGAGTATGCGGACTTGTGGGTGGGACAGAGGTTGGGGCTCTCAGGCACTTGGGGCCAGGAGCATTCTCTATGATACACCCTGCATTAATCAAGACACCACTTATTTTTCTCCCCCCTTCTCTTCCCTTCTGTCATATCTTTCATTTATCTTGTTCCTTCATGGTTCTGGGGATCTGACCTAAGACCTTGCCCCAGCTAGACAAGCACCCCACCACTGAGCAATATATCCTGCCAGGTGTCTTTTTAATGCCAATGAGGCTCTGTTTCCTATTCCTCCAGTTGGAGCCAATATTGCTGTTCTCACTGCCTCCGCTAGTTGCTACAGGGAGTAATGAGACAGTGTGAATCAGCTCCCAGGCACTCTGCAAGGGACAATTCTTACTCGGTATCTCAAAAAGGATCTGGCAGGAAATGTATCTCAGACCCACCCACTCCTCTTCACCCCTGAGTTAAGACATCCCCTCCTGCCCAGGTGTCCTTGTTCCCTTCCTACCCTAGTCTTCCCCCATGCACTATCCCCACTGTGGCTCATGTTCCCACAGCAGCCAGTGAGCTCTTATTAAGATGCAAATCTGATCATGTCATTTAAACCCCTCGATGGTTTCCCAGCAGTCCTGGGACCCAATCCAAATCCTTGACCTGATCCTGCCCACAGTGTACCACACCAGCTTCATCTGGTGTGTGCCAGCCCAGCTGCCTTCCTCTGGAGGCCCAGAGGTTCTGTCGGTTCTCTTTATCACAGGCTGTTCCCTCTCCTAGGCTACCTACCCCTCTTCCTTCTACTCTTGGCACCCCAAACACAGCCTGATCAACCCCTCCACTCGCCTGATTATCCCCCATGTATCACCACCTCCTGAGAGGACGTCCCATAGTCCCCTAGACTAGTTATCTCTTGTGCAGTTTTTAAAACACTGTTTTTTTTTTCTTACTAATTTCATCACTTGACAACACTTGTTCAGTCCACGTCTAATTTTCTCATGGGTATAATTTCAGAGGAGTGGGAACATGGTTTCTGGTCCACTATTAGACTTTCTAGCACAGTGTCTGGCCCTGAGAATTTTTATTGAGTATTTAAGTGCCAGATATTTAGTGGAGGACTTGGGACTGCACTATAGGAAGACAGTCTGTCCTGTTCTGACCTGTTCATTACATTAAACTTCAATTATAGGGGCTAGAAAGATAACTCAGCAGTTAAGAACACTTGTTGCCCTGCCAGAGGACCCAGGTTCAGTTCCCAGCACACAGCTCACAACTGTAACTCCAGTTCCCAGTTATCCAATGCTCTCTTCTGGCCTCCATAGGCATTGCACACATACAGCACACAAACATCCATTCAGGCAAAACACTCATACATATACATGTTTTAAATACAACATGACATGGCAGTCTTCCATTTACTTCTCTATGCATATCCACCCACATGTATGTGCATGAACACACACATGAGCTATCTATGGAGAACACATATTGCATATACTATCATACACTGCTACTTGATTCTTTTTAGCAGCAGTGAATCTCCGACCTTTCACAAAGTTAGTGTGTATGAGATCTTCCTCATAAATTGTAACTGCAATAGACTCATCTAGGTGTATCATTGTTTATTAAGTATTTTCTCACTAATCGGCATTTAGATAGTGTCCTTTATATGTATTATATATATATATACATATATATATTCCATACAATATATATATATATATATATATATATATATATATATTTACAAATGAGGATTTATCTTATTTTCCTAATTCTTATTCAAAGACAGGTAGTTCTGTGAAGGCAGGGGTAAAAACGTGTTTAATTCATTTCCTAGATGAGAAGCTCTAACAAAGAAACATAGAAGGCTGTTTGGAAGGTGTGGTTCTGTGTGTGTGTGTGTGTGTGTGTGTGTGTGTCTGTGTGTGTGTAAGTGAGTGAGACAGAGACAGAAAGCTTCCCAATTAATGCTTCCTGCGGTTCTTTGCACTGTGCCCTCAATATAGGCTTGTGAGATAGACAAAATATGTTCTATCACCTCACTTTTTTGATGCCCCTGCAGCCACAGCATGCCCACTCACATGGAACTTCATTTCTATATAGCTGTGGAAACCAGGGCTGAAGGTTAAGGGCAAAGGTCTGGGGTTTAGAGATCTGGCAAGAAGGTTCCTTGGGTGCTGTCTGGCCTATGCCTCACCTTTTTATACTTGAAGGCTCTATACTTGAAAGTCCAAAGCTGTTTTCTTTCTTTCTTTTTTTTTTTGGCCTTTGTCTCTCTTTAGTCCAGGACATCAACATTTCCCTGTGGCGATCACCAGAAGAAGTGAGGTCGGACAAGAGTGTCTTCATGAATCAGGGCGAGTGGGAGCTGCTGGGAGTGCTCACCCAGTTTCAGGAGTTCAGTATGGAAACCAGTTACAGCTATGCAGAAATGAAGTTCTATGTGAGTGGGTGTGGCTGGGTCTGGAGGAGCCACAAAACCGACTAGCCCTCCACATTGGGGGTGGAGTAAGGAGGCAAACTGGGAAGGACCTAGTAGCCCTTGTGCCAACTCCAGGTCCATATGCATTCCATGCAACTTCAGCAAGGGCGATGGGAATGCAATTGAAGCACCCTGTGTTTATACTCAACAGGCATAAGCCTGGTGCCAGAGGAAGGCTATGGGTCTGTTACTCTCCTTCCCCAAGAAATCCATGCTAGACATTCTATAAGACAGTGGGGTGGGTATGGGGTAGTGGTTCTAGGTTCCTGTCTGCCCAATCACTCCCAAGCTTCTGTCCTGGTCCCAGGCTTACTCTCCTTCCCCAAGAAATCCATGCTAGACGTTCTATAAGACAGTGGGGTGGGTATGGGGTAGTGGTTCCTAGGTTCCTGTCTGCCCAATCACTCCCAAGCTTCTGTCCTGGTCCCAGGTGGTCATCCGCCGGCGGCCTTTATTCTACGCAGTCAGTCTCTTGCTGCCCAGTATCTTCCTCATGGTCGTAGACATTGTGGGCTTTTGCCTGCCCCCGGACAGTGGAGAGAGAGTCTCCTTCAAGATCACGCTCCTTCTGGGATACTCGGTCTTTCTCATCATTGTGTCGGACACACTGCCGGCAACAGCCATCGGCACTCCCCTCATCGGTAAGGCCTTCCCCAAGGAAGTGTTTGCTGTGGTGAAGACCGGCCCCCACCCTTAGTGTATCTCTTTCTCTGGCTCAGGTGTCTACTTTGTGGTGTGCATGGCTCTGCTGGTGATAAGCCTTGCTGAGACCATCTTCATTGTGCGGCTGGTGCACAAGCAGGACCTTCAGCGTCCAGTACCGGCCTGGCTAAGGCACCTGGTCCTACAGAAAACAGCCTGGTTGCTCTGCCTAGGGGAGCAGCCCATAGCCCATAGGTCCCCAGCCACCTTCCAAGCCAACAAGACCGATGACTGCTCAGGTGAGAGAGGATAGGGACACACTCACACATAGAGTCTGGAGGCTGTGACATGCCAGGGATGAAGGATAGGATCTGGCAACTGGGTGCAGGATGGAAGCAGGAGGATGCTTCAGTCAAAGATGTCAATCAGACTGGAACCTTGCTTCCCTTTTCCCTTTTTAAAAAAGACAGGGTCTTGCTATGTAGCCCTGGCTGATCTGAGCAAGCTTTCACAGAGATCTTTTCTGTTTTGGAAGTGATAGATGGATGCCTTTAAGACATGTACCATCAGGCTCAGCCAGGCCCTTTTGCTTTGCTTTCAAACCCCTCGTCAGTCTAGGTGAATGAAAGGTGGGAGTCATGGAGGCTGAGCCCTATGGACTGAGAAGGGCTCAGAGGAGCTGGGTGTGAGGGTGAGTGCATGCCTTGAATCCCAGAACTTGGGAGACACAGGTAGGTAGAGCTCTGTGAGTTTGATGGCATTCCAGGCTACGTAGTGAGTTTCAGACTATCTAGGACTACATAGTTAGACCTTGTCTTGAAGTGAGAGGGAGAGATGGACACAGAGAGAAATGTAGAGTGTAACTGAGGAAGACACCCAACTTCTGACCTCTATACCTCACCCCTCTGCCACAGCATCAGGGTATCTCACTGGCCTCCCTTTCATACCAAGGCTCTGTTCTTCTTCTAGCCATGGGAAACCACTTCAGCCATGCTGCGGGACCCCAAGACTTGGAGAAGACCCCAAGGGGCAGAGGTAGCCCTCCCCCACCACCCAGAGAGGCCTCGCTGGCTGTGCGTGGGCTCTTGCAAGAGCTGTCTTCCATCCGGCACTTCCTGGAGAGGCGGGATGAGATGCGGGAGGTGGCTCGGGACTGGCTCCGAGTGGGATATGTGCTGGACAGGCTGTTATTCCGCATCTACCTGCTGGCCGTGCTGGCCTACAGCATCACCCTGATCACACTCTGGTCCATTTGGCATTATTCTTGAGTGAACACAACCCAGAAGGGCTGGTTAGGCTAAGGATGGAGGATTTCCCCTTAGGTGCTTCATTCTGTTTCCAGCACCAATTAGTTTGAGCAATCCCAAACCAGTGTCTGAACCCTTGGCTCTGAAACTTAGTGCTGAAGACCCATTCTGTCTCCCCAACTCATTCCCAACTTCCCCACCATGGCTTTTAAGTATAATATCCTAGTTCAAGAGAAACCAAGTATGCTCTAATTTTACTCATCAACACATCGAGCCTGGGTTTGCTTTCCGGTACTTCCTCGATTAAAGCCCTTGGAACTGCTCATTTCCACAAGATTTGGTTTTTGATTGAAGAAAAACTAACCCTCTAGCATAGGTGCCCCAGACTTCTGCATCTATTTTATCTATCCCCTAAGGGCTCCCTTTCCAGGTCACCTGTGGCCACTTCCCTGGCATTCAGCTTTGTCAGCCGATGGGGGTAGGGGGATAATAAAGCACAATGGTATCTTGCTCCGTCTATGACCATTTGTATTGAGCTTTGGGAAAAGTCTGGATGGTGGAATTACCTGTAGTTTCAGTTGACAGATGCTTTCCGGGCGGAGGAACTAGAGAGTGACATGACAGCCATCATGATGAAACAATAGGAGGTAGATGAGTTTGAAGGTTAAGGCTGACCATTTATCAAATGAGAGGAGAGAGGAAGGCTTTCTGCAATTCATTGGGAAAATGCTGGAAGGATCCATGTGGGCCAACTCTTCTAGATTTATGGTCTCTAGGGAGCAAGCTATTACACTGCAACAGAGTGCTGCCAAGGAGATAAGACTTCAGCACCACGGCCAGCACCCTCCCATTTGGTGTTTAGTAGATGCTGAATGCAAGGCTTGGATTGAGGCATCTCCTTTTGCACTCTTAGTAGGTAATGTCTAGTGGCCCTAACCAGGAAGCAGGGCTTGGTGGGAGGCAGAGCTGGGATAATGCTCTTGGACATACCTTATCCTGGTCACCTGTGCTAGACAACAGGCCTTAAGCAAGCTAAGTAACACCCCAACTTCCACTCACCTACCTAACAGGCATCTAGGAGAAGGAATTTTCTGTCTTAGTCTCAAGAGTATATAGATGAAGTTCCCTCTGACACTTTATCATGTTCCTATCTTATTCCTCTCCCTCTCTTGAGTTTCTTGACACTCAAAGGAAAGCAAGGTAGAGGGGGACTAGACAACGAATGGCCAGGCTATAGAGACAGGAACCCACCAAAAAAAAAAAATGTCTGGGATGAGACCAAACAGTTCCATTCCCCCCTAAGCTTTTCTAAAGCAGCCAACAATAAGAAAGTCAATGCAAACACTGGGGATAGCACCTTCCCAAAACCCCAACCTCTGCCATTTCAGTTCATAAACCACCTGGGAAGCTGAGCAGAGTGCAGAAATTTGGGGCCTTGGGTTTTGTCACATGTGAAAGGGCCCAAGGCTGAAGGAGGGATCACATGGTTTACCTTTTGTTAGGTGCCTTTTATCCCAGAATCCCCGCCAAACAGAAAGAGCTCCTGGATTCTAGCTAGCTCCTCAGGTGACCTGGTATTGAGGGCTCATCAGCACCTCTATCCCAGACACATGGGCTTTTGAAGACTTCAGAATTTCACCTTTATTTTTGTTTTGTTTGTATGCCAATCAGGCTCTGTTAACAAACAGGAGAGTATTGGACCTAGAGTTGCCTTTGGCTGAGCAAGAATGGGCAAGATGTAGAAACAGTTCTCCTTATTTGGGATAGGCTCTGCAATTCCCCTCTTGGAGTCTGGTTTTAGAGTCAAAAGATGCCCCACCTACTAGGACTTCTGTGCCTAGTCACCCTTTTAGAGTCAAAAGATGCCCCACCTACTAGGACTTCTGTGCCTAGTCACTTGCTATCAGAAGGTTCTTATGTCCCAGGCCACAAGGATAGAAAGATGGACAGTCAATGCACCACTGGCCATTAAGTGGGTAGCTATTGACAAAGTGTTCAACCAGAGAGCTAGTAAGACACTCATCAGCCTATTGATTCCCCATCTCCCCCTTTTTACCCTTCACTCGTAATCAATAGGGCGACAGAGCCCAGTACTGAGGCGGCCAATTAACCACCTCAGGAATGAGCTGCTGCATGTAACATCTTCCGGTCCACTGGCTACATCCAATAGGAGCATTGATCTGGCATCTGTGTCATGCTTCCCAGGGATGGGAAACTGAGGCCCAGCACTGGAGAATGTCTCCAGTGTACCAACTTCTCTTCATCAATGCTAATCTTGGACATGCCCTAAGAGGTCCTTATCATGTTTGGGGACACATCCAGTCACTTGCTTATCCCCTTCCTTTCATAACTAAAGTTCAGACTGAGGCAGTCCAAAGAGGCTAGGCTGGGCCTCCAGTCCCTAATGTGCCAACTAAAAAGACAAGTAAAGCCATGAAGAGTGGCTTACATCTGTACTTGTGAGGCTGAGGCAGAAGGATTACTGTTAGTTCAAGGTCAGCCCGAGTGACAGTGTGACCCTGTGGAGAGAGGGTGGTGAAGTTTAACAGACAGAGAGGCTTATGCAGTGTATCCATGTTGAGATAAAACAGATAAGAGGGTATAGTGATCCTAAATTCAGGTTTGGGTTAATGACATAAGCTTTAGGAGTAAATGAAGGGAGATTTGTGGCAAGTGGCAGGATGTATGAATAATTAACCAATCTTGGTCTAGATAAGGACCTGCTACTCCTACCCATCATTGCCTCATCTGCAAGGTGGTCCCAAGAGGTCCTTGGCTTGAGGGACCAAGGTGGCTCTCAGAAGATAATGGCTTCTATCCCAGAGCTGTCCTCATCTAGGGTGGGTGTAGTCTGAAGTAGGAAGATAAGTTAGACAGACACTCTCCAAGTAACTAACATACAGACCCCAGAGAAAAGCCCCAGGCTCCAGGTAAAAAAGACATAACAGAGTGAAGGGAGAGAGCCAGCCTTTCATTAGCTCATGCTTAGCTGTGGGGAATCAAGGCCTATAGCACTCTCCAGCTTCTACCAGCCTGCTTTAGTCTACATGGTCCCACTGCCTCTGATCCTGTCCTATGCAAAGGGATAGGCTTCAGGTCTCCACGCCCCCTCCGGCAGGGCACCTCTTCATCTCACCTCCCAAGTGCTCCTCGGCCTTTCCCCACCCACCCTGCTTCTAACAGTCTCCCCCAAACTCCACCGGAGCTGTGGAAGTACACTGTAGCCCTGCAAGCCTTGGTGCTCTACAAGTCTGCAGCTCAAGCAGCTAGGAGATTGCCACTGGCTCCTAGGAAGGAAATAGCTTTTGTTCCTGATGTTGGCCACCTGTGCTCAATGACCGAAAAGGCATGCCCTAGAGTGGACACCTGGCAGCTTTCAGGAGCGCTGGGACAGGCATGTTGAGTTTAGCAGCCAGTGCAGGCGGTTGGGGTAAGAGTGGGAAAGCAGGGGGCAATGACGAGGAGGACAACGATACAACTGAGTTCCCCCAGGCTAGCTTAGAGGAAAAGTTTCCTGGTGATGGAGGGGGGAGTGCAGCTCAGTGTTTGCCAGCCAGCTTCTCCTCCATCCCCCTCCTCCCCCAGCCTCTGAATCAATACATTCTGAATCTAATCTAATAACAGAGATTTAACGAGGGGATAATGCGCATGGAGCCGCCAGGCGCTTTGTCTCTTCTTTCAGGAGGCAGCTGGGGCCCATTATCTGGGGACAATGCCCCATGCTAATCACTCCCTCTGCCTCCCTCTGCATGTTTGGGGAAAGGGGTGTTGGGCAAGAAGGGGCAGCTCCTTTGACTGCACCGGAGGCAGTCACACTGGTCCAGCCCACCCCACGCAATTGCCTTGGCCTAACACCAACTCCTTGGCCTTCTATTCCAGCCACACTGGGTATCCTGACCTGTGAGAGGTGGAGGGCATCCCAGCAAGGCAAGCACACAGCTACTAACTAGGTTTCAGATGGGACTTGGGTGGGCTTTTTTGTCTTTCCGTTTTTCTAACTTAGTCCTCTATAATTTAAGCTACCCCACTGAAGCTTGTGATGGCCAGCCCTGAGTGTCAGTGTCGTGGTTAGAGAATTCAACCCTAGTTTTAGGGAATAAGAATAACCCATGCTGAAATAAAAAGCTGGTCTTTCTCTATTTCTCTTTCTCCCTCTTCCCCACTCCTTTCCTTTCTGTTATATCTGGAAGTGTGGAAGTTAGACTGAAGGCAGAACTTCCTGGCAAGGCCAATGCTAACAATGCTTATTAAATCAGGAGTCTGGAAAGGAGCAAATTGCATCTCATTTCCTAGAAACCTTTCAAAAAGGGACCTTTAGCTCAGTTTTCTATTGGAGCTTGCAGGAGGAGGGAGCCCAGAGCTGCGTTTGGACATCCACTGCCTTCTGAAACATGTTTACTGAACAATATGAGTGTGTTGTGGAGTGTCAGACCCCAAGTGTAAAATCTTCCATGCCGGGTCTCCTTGTGTGTCCACCTACTCATCTCTGAAGTGGAGTTCCCACTATTCCCACATCATAGATGTTAGGGGTTTTGTGATCCCAGTGAAGAAATGTTCAGGGAATCTACAAGGCTCTAGTAGAGACGCCCGGCATCATGCCGGCCCTTTTTTTTTTCATTGGCTTGGGTCACATTTGGAACCAGTGAGAATTAATTCTGGTAAGTGGTGGATGGGGACCTTTGTCCTGCTGTTCCCATATTAAGGACAGACCTAGTCAAATGAGCTAGGCACTTACCTTAAGGCCAGGGAACTAAAGAGCCTACTTTTGCCATGTTGCACCCAAACACTGGTGCCCATTCTGCCCCTTTGTTATGTCCCATACTTAGCCCCAAACCTTCGGCTTCCTAACAGAGTTCTGCCATAAAACTTCAGCTTAGAGTTCCTGCACTGAAACAGTGTGAGAGCCTTGCACACTCTAGGATCCCATGCTGAGCCTTGTCAGGTCTCCCATGCAGCCCTATGACCCATGTCTCTTTGTAATGAGCTCTAAATCCATAGAAGAAGGAGCGTTGTGAGAGTGG